GCCTGGCAGCGGGCTGGGCGCCTCGGGTCCATCGTCCTTTCCGTCCCTCCGCCGACCTTGCGGTGGGTGCCCTCTCCGTTCCGACGGGCGGGGAGGCCGAGCGACCCGGCTGGCGTTCCTCCGGTTGATATCTGCTCTACCACATCTTTGATTTTAGAAGTGAGAAAACCGGCGCCGCTTCTGCAGGTTTTCGTGCCCGGTCTGTCTCCCCAGGTGAGATCTTGTGTGAGAACTTTTAAAGGTTTGCCTCCCTTCGTAAAGACTCTTGTGGATGCCTTGTGCAGTTTACTGGATGGCAGCGCTGGTGTGGTCCCCTCCTGCCCAGCATGGGTCTCTTCGGCCAGTCCCCTAGTCACGTCTGAGCTCTTGCTGTCGGGCTCTGTGGGTGACAAAAAGATTTCAGCGTTATGTGGAACCGTATTCTCTGGCGTTTTATGCGTAATTTCTTTATCAATGACATTCACAGACACTTACATTTAACTTACTATTTTTTGAGTTGGAGTCTCACTCTGTTGCCCAGGCTGGAGTGCATGCCACACTCATGACCAACGCAGCCTCGACCTGCTGGGCTCCTGCGATCCTTCTCTCTCTGCCTTCCAAGTCGCTGGAACCACAGGCGTGCGCTACCACACCCAGTGTATTTGATTTATTGTAGAGTCGAGGTGTCACCAAGTTGCCCAGGCTGGTCTCGAACCCCCAAGCTCAGGCAATCCTTGCCTCAGCCTCCCAAAGTGCTGGGGTTTACAGGTTGAGCCATCACACCCAGCCTAACTTAAATTCTTAACATTTGTCTCTGAATTTAGCTGATTTTTTTTTTCAGGTACTTGAGTACTTTTTGCACATATCACTTTAGGTTTGTTAATTATATATGTCTTTTTGGAAAACTTCCAATTATTCTGCAAAACAAGTTCTATATGTGTGTGTGTGTGTGTGTGTGTGTGTATAAACTTGGATTCTTCACTACAGTTACAACGCAGATTCCAAGTCTGGGATAAAATACAGGCTTTCACCACCTGCTGCTACTCTTATTTGCTTATCATGTCCCCTGTCACATTGTTTATGCTTCTGATCAATTAAAAAAATGGAAAAAATATTTTTAAAAACGTTTCAAAGTGCAGCCCCCGAAACGATAGTTGAATGATTGAAAAAATAGATAAAAGGTTAGAGATGGGTATGACCGGGTACCAGGTTGTGTGTCATTTATCAGAGTTCACGGAGGAAAGATGTGACCTGGTCAGGTGGAGTTTGCACAGTGGCACCCTGTGGATGACTTGAAAATACAGGCTGGTGGGGGGTCCAAGCAGTGGAGGCCAGAGGCTGGAAAAGATACTTCCCTGCAGGAATTTCTGTCTGAGGTTAGGAAGCAGCTGTGGGAGAGTTCTTTCAGGTTCTGCTGATGTGTATTTCCACTATTCTGTGTCTCAGTAACTTGGTAGAAGAATGGTTTTTGGTAGCATCAGCCCAGCATATCAGGTCAAGTGTGATCTTAACAGAAGCAGAAAGGAAAGCACTTCCTGGTGGCGGCAGGTCCTAGACACCTAACCTGGCGTCTGCCTCACTGGCTGCTTTGCCTTCACCTCCTAGTGACAAAAATCCAGGACCTGCCTTTTGATGGGAGGTCTGTTCTCCCAGTCTCCATGGTTCTGGTGTTTTCGATTTCACACAGAAGACCTTAAAAGGCCAAGATTATAAGTGCACTTCAAATGGCCAGCCAAAAACACTTTAAACCTAAAAACAAAGCCAGACCAGTTACCACTAACCTCAAGAAGATAAACATTATGAGTGAAGAAAAAGTTAACAGTGAATAAAGTGTTTGTAAATATACAAAAAGAACTATCGGCCGGGCTCGGTGGCTCAGTCTGTAATCCCAGTACTTTGGGAGGCTGAGGCAAGTGGATTGCCCGAGCCCTAGGGTTCGAGACCAACCAGGGCAACTTGGTGAGACCTCGTCTCTACAATAAATTTTAAAAAAATTGGCCGGGTGTGGTAGTTCCAGTTACTTGGAAGGCTGAGGCAGAAAGATTGCCTGAACCCAGCAGGTCGATCCTGGGATGGCCATGAGTGTGCTACTTCACTCCAGCCTGGGCAACAGAGTAAGACCCTAACTCAAAAAAGAAAGGAAGGGTGAAAAGAGCTAGCACTCTTCTCAAAAGACCTTTCTTTGAACTTCAGCAGAAAGAACTGATTCCTCAGCAGCGTTACGAAAGCGAACCAGTTAATGCTGATGAAGCTACAAGATTAATGGCTCAGTTGTGATACAGTGGTGATGCGTCTAATTCCTCAAAAAGACCAATAAATTAAATGTTTCATAAAATAAAAAAAAAGGCACTTCCCCACTGCCCTATCTAAGCGGGTGTTTTTCCGGTATCATTTATCACTGAACTCTGTTCCTTTCTTGTGCAGTATTTGTCATGAAGAATCTGTGGGTCTGTTTGCTCCTGTATTGTTGCCTACCTTCTTTATTGCACTGAAAGAACCTGGACATCAAGACACATTTTTTTTTCTTTTTTACCAGTTTTTTTTTTGAGTTGCAGTCTCACTCTGTCACCCAGACTGGAGTGCAGTGGCCGCTCCCGGCCACCGCAGCCTCGACCTGCTGGGCTCCGGGGATCCTTCTGCCTCAGCCTTCCAAGTAGCATACGCAGCATCTATTAGTGTGCCTGGTTAAGTACTAGGCTCGGTTATTTTTGAGTGTGTGGATGACTTCATACTTCTCTGTGGTCTTTGGTCACACCGCCGTTATTTTATCTTGGGATGCATGAAGTGGAAATATTTTTTAACTCCCTGATTAAGTTACTTTTATATACTATTTATATACGTAGTATGTTTCACTGTCTATTTGCCTGCTAAAGTGTATTTTATTTATTTATTTATTTACTTTTGAGTTGGAGTCTCATTCTGTCGCCCAGACTGGAGTGCAGTGGCCGCTCCCAGCCACCGCAGCCTCGACCTGCTGGGC